GAGGATGGTAATCTGATGAGCGTCATACAGGTGCAGGCGACGATCTCTAGTGTGAAGCCTACGAAAAGGATACTGCGGTGGACGATGATGACATAGCTGTAGCTGGTGTCGATTTCGTGCCAAGCATTTAGCGGCGTCTAATGTCACCCGGAAAGTATCAACTGCTAAGGCTTGATGCCGGTGTGGTCCCGCCCGCCATAAACTTAGATTTGTAAATCTTACTATCCGAATTCACAGAAAATTAAGTTACATGCCGCAATCGCTCCTCGTTTGCAGGATGAGATCCATCCAGCGCTCAAGCACAACGTCGCTTCTGGCTCGTTTTGTGCCGAAAACGGGCTGGCTACTCGAATGGTTTCCCACACTGAGATCTTTTGACTCAGCACCTTGCTAGCCTGATCATCGTCGGTGACTTTAGCGAAGCTTTTTCATGCATCACGAACTGCGTGTGGTGAATAAGAGACCTTCAGAAAAGAGAGACCCTAAAAAGGTTCGATCCTTACAATACGCTGCGGGCTCCCTCTCCTGTGTGTTTGTAGTCCTGCAGCGCCTACGCCCTACGCCCCAAATCCATGGTGGAGGGGCACTGTCCTCGAAGTTGTTCTAGTGTCGGCACTTGATCAAAAAAATTGGAGCTTCTTGGTATTCTGCATAGATCCGATTGGTTTTCGGTCATTCAAGAATCGGAATACTCTGTCAGGCTCCTAGAACACACATTTCAGCCCATGTATCGCTTGGCCTGCGTCCCGAAGCCAGGTGAAGGGGACTGTTGGGATGGCGAACGCACGCAGCTTACCTCGCATGCTCGTCTTAGTGGGGCTTGAGCAGGGTGTGAGGGAGTCGATCCCTAGAATAGTCCATGGAATCCCATATAGCAGTCCCCATATCCCTTCCTCTAGTCACACTAAGCACCAGTACGGCGTTTGTGCATGGGTCCCGATGCAGACACGCAAGCTTGTTCTTACTGGTTCAGGAGAAGCCGAACGAAAATGGCTCTCAGTTCTATGCCACGTCCTCAGAGTTGGTTTCGGACCATTGCGTAGTGTTCTCCTCTTTGGGTTCATATCAAGAGATGGACAATCGAGTCAAAGTCCTTGAGATGGATTGTCAATGGCAGGATGATAAGTACGAGGACCCCTACACAAGCTACCCCTCATGTCCCTTGAAGGGCTGGCGTTGGCCCGACAGCGCCGTCCAGCTCATGTCCGCGAAAGCACGCACCTGACCAAGCTTGTGCTGAGATCACCTTGCGGAAAACCATTGAGCAGCTAGATGAGAAGCACACGATTTTTGGGCCACTTGTATGCACTTGGCGGACCAGGGGACTTAGTAAGTAGGGGCTTAAGTGCCCCTTTGAGGGATCTATCGGGCTACTTTAAGGGTTTAGGCTTCAGGGTGCAGAAGATGTTAGGGAGCGCCAAGGTAGGATGGAGTTCGCCAAGCAGGGGGGCCGGTTCGGTTGCAAGAATCTTATGACGGTTTAGGGTTTGGGTTGGGGCTTAGGGTATTGTGTTCTTGCTCTCATACTTGAAGCTGTTTGGTCAGTACTTGTTGATGAGGGATGGGAATGGCATGATGCTACTGTTGATGATGCTGATGGTAAGGGTGTTGATACCGGCAAACTGATGACGATGTTGCTGACGGGTTTGCTGTTACACCAGCAGAAGTGGTAGTGGTGGTGGTAGTAGCAGAAGTGGTACTAGTCGTAGTAGCAGTTGGAGGAGGAGGAGCAGCAGCAGCAGTAGCGGGTGAAGGAGCGGGAGCCAGGAGGAGCAGCAGGGGGAGAAGGAGGGGTGCACTGCTGCTGCTGCTGCTGCAGTAGCTGCTTTAGCTGATATTTGTTTGCTTGTCGTTGTGATGGTCGTGTTGCTTAAGACGAGACTGCCCCTGATCCAGAGATCCGAATCCGCGCAGCATGAACACCTGAAAGCAAGAAGCTTCGTAGCCTCCCCGGATCTTGCTGTTCGCGGTGTTTTCTGTAGGGTCTCTGCGGTTTGATAGAGCCTTTTAGAATGGCGTAAAGCCCTCAGGCGGTCCTCAACCTTAAACCCTGAAGCCCTTAAACCCCTGAACTGCTGACCCTGAGGGCTGAACAGGGTTTAGGGGTTAGAGTTGAGGGTTTAGGGTTTAAATAGGGTTTAGGGTTTCCTTAACCCTAAACTCAAACCCTAAGCTCCTAAAAGCTGCCCCTCGACTCCCCAGTTTTTGTTAGACCTCAAACCGTCTGCTCTCCAACCCTAAACCTTGAACGTCAAACCTGAGGCCCCGAACCACAAACGCTCAAAAGAGCCCTTCAAAGGAACAAAACCCTAAGCCCTTAACCCTGTAGTTAAGGATCCCTTATAGATCCCTTAAAGGAACCCTAAGGTATATTAGGGATTCCTAAACTCCTGAACCCAGAGTCCTGAACCCAAAGCTGGTGAACGCGAAGCCTCCGTCTGCAGCAGGCGGGTTGCCGAAGGGTGCGGCTCTGAGCCTGCTTGCGTTTCAGGTTTAGGGTTTCAGGTTTAGGGTTTAATTAGGGTTTCAGGTTTAGGGTTTAGGGGTTCAGGGTTTAGGGTTTAGGGTTTGTGTGTGGAAGTCAGTTGATGGCGTTATTTCTGCGCGGGATAAATAGGAGGCTTTTGGGGAGGGGTTTAGAAGGGCTCTTGGATGGGTGATATAATATGATATAAGGTGTTTTTTTCTGAAAGGCTTTATTCTCTAGGGTCTAGGGTTTTCTGAGTTTGGGGTTTAGGGGTCTAGGGGTCTAGGGGCCTAGGGGTTTAGGGGTTTAGGGTTCGTTGGGTTTTGTTTAAGTCCTAAGCTCTGGCGCACCGAAGAGTTCCCAGAGACCCCAATATCCCTTAATTAAGGAATATTCCTTAAATCATATTGGGGATCCTAGTACATTTAGGGTATATTCCTTAATTAAGGGATATTGGGGTCTCTGGGTTCCCCTTGCTGGGTCCGAAGTGCCGAAGTGCCGAAGAGACTGGGCTCGAGAGTATGCCACAGCAGAACCTAGAGGAGTCTTCAAGCCGTAAAGGAGTCTTTAAAGATCGTTTAGGGTTTAGGGTTTTAAAGGAACCCTGAGTCATGGCAGCAACCCTAAACCCCTATAGAACTCTTAAAGGAACCCTTAAACGGCTGAAAAGGTTATTTGGGGGCTCTTTCCGTAAATGTCGTAGCTCAACCTAGGCTGCACGCCCCAAAGTCCCGGACCTTAAGCCTGCTGATATTCAACCTGACCAAGGCCCTACACCTCAAAACGCCAAACCCAACACAGTACTAAACACCGAAACACTACAGCTCGAAAGTTTAGACCCGACTCTATACGCATGCCTGCATAACTCCAAATTTTCAAGGCCTTGATCGCCATAATCATTCAAGGCCAAATAACTATGCTATGCCCCTACAGAACCCTTATAGTGAGCCTTCTGGAACCCTAGAACAACCTCAAAAACCCTCCCCATTCGGAGCGATTGCGCGGCGAGCGCAGCGAGAAGGCCGCAAAGCTTTTTGTGTAGCTCCCCAGAGACTCCAATATCCCTTAATTAAGGAATATTCCTTAAATCATATTAGGGATCCTACTATAATTTAAGCTATATTCCTTAATTAAGGGATATTGGAGTCTCTGGGTCGGGGCGTTCACGGTGTTTCGAAGGCCTTTTGTGGGTTTGTGCGAGGGCTCCAGTTTGCTTTGGGAGTTCACAGATTTTTCGGTTTTAGGGCATGAGGTTTGGGGTTGGGTTTTAGACGGTATAGAGGTGCCTGAGCTGGTAGGGCTTTATGGTGATACTTATTGTAGCGTATGACAAGCATACCTTTTACTATTACAGCTGTTCCTGTCATCACTGTTGCTGTCATAATTTCTGTTGTTATTATTGTTGTAGTAGTAACAGTTATTTTTAGCATCTTACTCTTGTTATGGTTCCTGTTGTTTTTCGTTTCGTATCATGATTCCTACTTGTAGCATTGTTGCTTTTCAGCGCGGCAGATCATGAAACTATGCTGCTGTGGGGTTTTACTAGGTATCTATAGGGTATTTCTAGGAGTCTACTGGGCTTAAGTAGGGCTTATCAAGAATGATGTTACTGATCCTTTCAGGGAGAGACTGACCGTGTGTGCTAGGGGAGGCCGCTGATGGTTGCAGCGCGGCGCAGGCCGCCTCCGCCAGCTTGTCTTTGAGAGCCACTCGGGACAAGCAATCTCTGAGTTTAGGGCTTAGGGTTTCTAGGGAAAGGGGACCTCATGGAGACACTGAAGAGTAGGACCCGTAGTATAGAGACTCCCACACAGGATCTCATAATTGCAAGAAACGCTTATCTGCAGTAAACCGTCGGATGGAATAGTAGCTTGTGTCTGCCTTCTTGTGAGAACTATGTCAGCGTGTGATGAAGATGGTGATGATGATATGTATCACTAATATGACTGGTTGGATTTTGTTCCCTATTGCTGTTGGTACTTATATTATTGCTATTAATTGGCTATGAATTACTGTCATTATTATTGCTGTTAGTGTTACTACTGCTATTGCGATTAGGATAACTGTTACTGTTATTCTTGTAAGTGTAAGACATAAAAAAAGACGGACTTTTTCTTTTCATTGTCTTCAGCAAGACTGCTATGACGCTTTGCGTGCTCTTGCTGCTATTAATATCATCTGTCCAGTACTTGTGAAGATGCTGCGTGCTGCCGATGATAATGACGATTTAGAAGGGGCCCCCACCTTGAAATAGTGGTTTAATAGGAATATAATAGGGCCCTAATATAATCCTTATAGTCACTATTACAGGGTGGGGGCCCCTTCTAAATCACGACGATGATGATGATGATTGCTAGGGAGGAAGGCAAGGCAGGCACTCCGAGGTGCTTTCAGAGAGCAGGGTGGCGTGCTTCTTGGGTTTAGCGCTTTGGAAAGGGCCCGAAACCCTACATCCCAAGCCTCAAGCCCCAAAACCCCAAACCCCAAGCCCTAACAAGCCTCAAAACCCGAAGGCATCGCCAGAGTCGCCGTGATGTGGGCGCTTCTGCAGTCTGCTGTTGTGGCCCTTCTCTTAGCCTCGAAGGTGTCGGTGAGGTTTCAGAGGTTAGGTTTCAGAAGGCGGGTCTAGACCCTGCTCAAGCGGAAGCAAGACTCTACTGAAACTTCCCAAGTCTTGGAGTTAGGAGATACCCTTTGCTATGTCGAGCCTTTTCTTGTCTGCTCGGGTCGAGGGGCTTAGCTTTGCCTTCGGGGTCCAGGTGTTTCAGGGTTAAGAGCTTTAGGGTTCAAGGTTCGCGGTTACAGACCTTGCTGCCTTGCTGCCTGTGCTGGCAAGCTAGCCTTTCGCAGCCGTTGGAGGGTTTGCGGCCAGTAATGGTAGTTTGCAAGAGTTGTATAGCCGAGTGACACTATGAAGAAGAATAGAACAGTCTCAACAACAGCAACAAGAACAACGGCAACAATAACAGCAAAAAGAACAACGGCAGCAGCAACAACAACGGCAACAACAACGACACCATCAATAACAGCAACAACAACAACCTACAACTACGGTTACTACAACCACAGCTACAGCTACTACAACTGCTACAACTGTTACAACAACAACGACAACTACAAGTGGTTAACTACAACCGCAACTACGACTGGACTGCAACTACAACTACAACAACAACTACCACAAATACTACAACTACTACAACTACTACATCTACAACAACTACTACACTACAACTACTACAACTACTACAGCTACTACAACTGCAGCAACTGCTACAACACCAACAACAATAGCCACATAACTATAATTAGAACTGTTTAACGGCAATTACGACTACAACTAGTAGCAACTACTACCACTGCTACAACAGCAACTACTACGACCAACCACAAGTCCAACTCCAACTACAACTACAAGAGCAACATTGTGGCGCTGGCGTCCAAGGCCCTGGTCTTGCTGGCATCCCTGGTCATGTTTGCGTCTATTACCAAGAACCTCGGCCTTTCGTGAGCTTCCCGGGTTTAGGGATTTAGGGGTTTGGGGGTTTAGGGGTTTGGGGGGTTTAGGGGTTTAGGGGTTTGGGGTTTAGGGGTTTAGGTTTTAGGGTTAAGAGCATCAAGACGAGAAGAAGACGGCGCAAGCAGCAACAAAAGTTACCAGCCTGCAATGGCAGCGGCAAAGTCACCAATAGCAGCAGCAGCAGCAGCAGAAGCAGCAGCAGCACCAGCAGCAGCACCAGCACCAGCAACAGTCACTTGCACGACGACGATAGGTATCACCAGCCAGCCACCGCTGCTGCTGTTGCTACCATTACTCCTACTACCAAAACTAGTACCACCCCCCGCCACCACCAACGCGAGTACTGCTGCTGCCGCTGCGACTGTTGCCCATCCTCCTGCTCCTACCCCCGAGTAAACCTCAATCCACACTCGTAACCCCAGCCCTGATTTCCTGCACTCCTATTGCATATTCAGCATTGAACTGACCAAGGAATCTGACGATTCCTATGATCCTGCTGACTGCAGGCAGTTTGCGAGTTTTGGGTTTAGGCTTTTCGTTTCAGAATGTTTCAGAGCTGTCTGTTTGCCGTATGGGTAGTCGTCAAAATTATGGTCCCTTTTTTTTGGGTACCCTAAACATTAGGTGCCGTATTATGTTAAGGGACCCAAAAAAGGGGCCATAATTTTGACAACCACCCATATCATGGCAGGGCCAGCAATGAAAACAACATCGGACATGTGCCATGCACTGACCATGAGATTCGATGTCACACCAGTTTATGGTTTTGGGTTGAGGGGTTTAGGGGTTTAGGAGTTGAGGAGTTTAGGGTTTTGGGTTTACGGGTTCAGGGGTTTAGCGGTTTAGGAGTTTAGGGGTTTAGGGTTTGGGGTTTAGGGTTTAGGGGTTTAGCAGTTTAGGAGTTTAGGGGTTAGGGTTTTGGACAGGTTTCTACATGGCTGACGTTGCAAGCATCGTCGGTTGTGGAGTCGTCATTTCTGACCCTGAAGTCTAAACCCTAAGAATTAAAAATCCCTTAAGCCCTGAGCAGGTGTGGCCTTCTACTTCTTCGGGGGCTTGCTCAAGGGCATGCACTTCGACCTCCAGCTTTTAGGCCCGGGTTTAGGGGTTTAGGATTTCGGGTTTCAGGGGTTTTGGTGTTTTTAGGGTTTCGGGGTCTCGGGGTTTAGGGGTTTGGGGTTTAGAGTTGAGGCCCCATCCCTGAAGGAAATCTGATTCCGACGGTTTTCTCGTCCTCTAAAGTTCCTTGAACTCTGTGTTTCAAGGCATGAAAGCCTTGTTTTTGGGGTTTTTGAGCGGCTTCAGGGTTGCAAGGGCGTTTTATGGTCCCGGGGGCTCCGAGAAGCTTACCCAGAGACTCCAATATCCCTTAGTTAAGGAATATACCTTAAATTATAATAGGATCTCTAGTATGATTTAGGGAATATTCCTTAATTAAGGGATATTGGAGTCTCTGTGTACTTCTGGGTGAGAAAGGGGACCGTTGAGGTGCTTCTGGACAACACTTCCTTCTGTTACGGCCATCTTGCGCATCAGTGTATTGCCCCCAAACACTAAGAGTCTATGATAGGGCTACTATTAAGGTCCTAATGTATCTATATTATGAATATTATTCAACTATTGCTGAGTGGGGGCCGTACCCAAATAATAGCCGTGGTTCGGCTACTCGTAGGAATTATACTGGACCATGCCTGGGGCCCTGGTGTGTTTGTGTGTGGCCTAGACCCTAGACCCTACCCAGAGCCTCCAAAACCCCTTAATTAAGGAATATACCTTAGATTATAATGGGATCCCTTTTTTGATTTAAGGTATATTCCTTAATTAAGGGGTTTTGGAGGCTCTGGGTAAGCCTGTGTCCGACGACGAGAGCCCGGGAAGGCCAAAACACAACATCGGCGCTGAACATGTCCGTGGATGCCGCGGAGTTTCAGCTAATCAAGGCGGGCGCTGATGGGGTCAGGAATTAGGGGTGGTTGAGGGTTAGGGTGTAGGCTTTGGGGTGGAGGTTGGGGTTTGAGTTGAGGGCTTAAGGTTCAGAGTTTAGGATCTAGGGCTCAGAGTTTAGGGTTTGAGGTTTATCGTTTTGAGGCCGCAGACATCAGGCGGCCGCGGGTCAACAGCAAGCGGGCAAGGTACGGTTCGGCACGCACAAAGCTACAAGCAAAAACTGTACGTTTGTCCCGGCCAGGAAATCAATCACGAACCCTAACCTAGAGGCTCCATATGTAGTACCATTATGGAATTAGATCCCTGAAGCTCTGATAAGGGGCCTAATTCCATAATGGTACCATATATGGAGCCTCTGGGTAAGCCATAAATCCCAAACGTGAATCCACCAACCATGTCCGAGTCAGATTGGACTAGGTCAGTCGGGTTGGAGGACATCCAGACTCTTGGGGTTTCTCTCTGCTTGGGGTGACTTCGGTCAGATTTGGTTAATATAGGGGCCTTAATAATTAGAATACGGTGTTGGGGCCCATCATACTGTATTTATCTTAAGGAGCCCCCAAAGTAGTATAGGTAATTGTCAAGGCCCCTATGATACAACCCCCCATATTACCCCTCATAATAACCCGAATAGGACCCTTTTTAAGGAACCCTTAAAGGAAACCTTATTAAGGCCCCCCATGATATGTGGGATTCGGTGAAGTTTTCTTAGAGAGCCGATCCGTCGAGCGTGACGGAAGCCAAGAAAGGCAGATTAAAGTTCTATAGGGGCCTTAAATACTTACCTATACTATTTTGGGGTCCCTATTATCTTTATAGTATAATGGAAAACCCTGTTCGAATTATTAAGGTCCCCATAGTATATCGTCTGATTTTGGCGCTAGCAAGTTCACCCAGCCTCGCCTCACGTGCTAGCCGTAACTTGATCTGACCAAGCTATGTGAACTTCACCTACCCGAAATGGCATCTTCTCTGATTTGAGCTTTGTGCTGGGAGATCCTTGGATTCGTGCTGCGTCCGATCTGCGCTGTGATTTGCTGGTGTTGTGGTGCCCCGCCCAGGGCCTGTGAGAAGCTTGAGATCAGGGTCGCGGTCGCGGTTTGAAGTTCTGGATTTCTGAAGCTTCTTGGAATTTTGGGGTTTCTTCGCCCATAAATCCTCAATCCCAAACCCTAAATCCCCAAGCCTCAATCCTAAACCCCAAATCCCCAAGCATGAATCCTACACCCTAAATCCCCAAGCCTCAATCCTACACCCTAAATCCCCAAGCTTCAATCCTAACACCCTAAATCCCCGAGTCTCCCGACCCCGAAGCCTCAACCTCGATCGGTTTCGGGTCTCAGACTTCGCAGGCCGAGATCCAGGAGTTGAACACCAAGCTCTTCGGGACTGCCAGAAGCCCTGGCTCCAGGCATCCGGGTCGATTTTTTTTTTTTTAAAAGATGATGATCATGATACTAGTCGTAATGATTGTCGTAATCATAGCAATGATCATAATAATGATGATGTCCATAAAGAGGAACGATGATAATAGTGATAACACTGACGACAATGCGGATTGCTTAGAGTGTTCTAGGGTTTGTTAAGGGTTGCTCAGGGAGTCACCGTTTTTTCAATCGTTGCATAGGCGGTCAAAGTACAGAGGTTTAATGGGGTGTGCCTAAGGTGTGGATATGATTTTCGGTTTATATCGTATCTGCTGCACACGGAAATTTCGTGGGTTTTGTGCTGAGTTTATTGGTGGGTCATGGTGGGTCTGTGTTTGGGGTTTAAGGTTTCTTTTGTCCAGAGGTCGTATAGGTGGTTTCTCAGCAGGGTAAGGGTGTCAGGATGTGCGATGCGGGTCAAGATCGGTTGCTATCGTCAACGGTGTCGTCGTAGTCGTAGCTGCAGCAGCAGAGTATCATAATGCCATCATGATCGTCATCATTCCCATTGTTGTTATTGTTATTACTGTCATTGCATTGTCATTCTCGTTTCCGTCGTTATTTCATTTTCACGACTACTGTCATTCCTACCGTGATGATGGTGCATACATCTAAACAAAGAAGGCGAAAAGCTGTTGAGGCTATTCGGCTGACGTTTCTGTGGTTAGCTTTCGGAGACCAGGTCGGCGAGAGAAGTTTCGAGTCTCGCAGGTACAGGGAGCTCCCGCAGCCCGATACCTAGGGACCCGAAAAGGACCGAAGCTTACGCATGTTACACTTACCTTTGGTTAGTAGGGAATGGAAGAGAGGTAATAGTAACAGTTATGCTTGTACCGCATTCCTCCATTCCTTACTAACCAAAGGTAAGTACAGGGATATCCCAACCTAACTGGGCTTCATTACAAGGGGGCCGGAAGATCCCCTCTCCCAACTCTTGCTTGCTCTTTGTGGTCCCAATACGGGGAGCTTTTTCGGAGCCGCGGTAGTTGAAGTCAGCCCTCCAGGGCCCTTCACCATCGTCATAGAGCTCCCTGAACTCTAAACCCCAAGCCCGAACACCTAGACCCTAAATCATCCGCGCCAAGTTTGAAGCCTAGACCCCCTAAATCATAGGCTCCAAGTTTGAAGTCCTAACCTGTCGAAGAGGAAACTGCAGGAAAGGAGCGTCGCACGAAATCGAATGTGATCCTTTAAGGTCAGCTGGGTTTAGGATTTCGGGGTACGATTTTTGGCACAGGTTAAGCAAAGTGGTCTCCATGCTCCAAGATTTCCAGAAGATCGATGCGAAGCTTGAAGAGGTGAGGCGCGGTTTGGGAGGAGGGTACTTTACGCCGCTTTGGGGGCCATAATACGCTGTTGTGGGGGGTTTCCTTCTTATGCCCCCGAACCCTATTCTGATCATCAAGGCTCCTATGTTGAGTGGCTTCGTGCTATCCCGCCCCTACAGAACGGTATTGCAGTAGAGTTAGGAGGATCTGCCAGGCACTCTGCTGGAATCAGAGTTCCCTGTTCCTAAACCTTAAACCTTGAACCCTGCACCGTCGCCGACTGATGTGTCAGGCGTCACAGGAAGCAACAAGATTCAAAAAACCTTACACCACAATTCCGAAACCCGAAACTCGAAAGTGAAGCGGGTCTGTGGCATCCTTCATCATTTAATCTTCCTTTTTCAAGAAGACATGCAACCCACTGGCAGCTTTGGCTTCGACCCCATCGTCCACCAGATGTGTTTGCTTGACACTTGAATCCGACGAAGCTTTGTGGGTTTTGAATTTAGCGATGTGTGTGATTAGGTTTGGAAGTGTCGGGATTTCCGGTAGCTCCATGAACACCTGGGCTTGAAGGTTGTTGGGATTTGAGGGTGCAGTTCAGCGTTTTTGTGACGGGGGAATAGGCTTGTCGGTTTGGGGGTTTTTAGGGTTCAGGATTGAGCAACCTTAGGAATCGCACTTCGACCAGGGGCGTCCTTCGCCTGCTCGAGCACGACGAAAGCAGCTCTCTGGAGGACTCTCGGGCGCTCTCTGCACTCCAACAGTTCGTGTTGGCCTCTTGCGAGCTACATGGGTGGTTGTCAAAATCATGGTCCCCTTCTGGGTACCCTAAATATTTGGTGCCATATTAAAATACGGACCCCAAAAGGGACCCTAAATTTGACAACTGCCCACATACTCGCAACAGTTCTCACAGTCCCTAACCTCCTTTTCTTAGTGTTGCTTGCGCGAGTTGGGGGCTCGAAGCTCCGGGTGCAAGTTTTTTTTTTTTTTTTTTTTTTTATCGAGTTCGGTCTTTTTGCTTTCGGTTTTACGTGTCGCGCCTGGGGTTGAAAGAGGGCTTCGGGCCAGGGTTCAGGGCTGGGCTCTGGGGTAAACCCGGTCTGGGGCACCCTACACCCTAAATCCGAGACCCTAAAGCCTGAACCCTAAGCCCTTAAGAAACGCACTCTTAAACAAAAGAAACCCTAAACTCCGAAACCCTCAAGGACCCTGAAACCCTTAACCCTAAACTTTCATCCCTGAAGCACCCTAATCCTAGACCTCAAAGCCTCAAACCCAACCCTAACCCCTCAGCCCCGGACGTGGGAGTCAGAAGTATGATGCCCGAACGTCAGGCCTCCTGAAACGAAGATGGAACTCCTTAATTTTGTAGAAGCCTAACCAGTTTAGGGGTTTGGGGTTCAGGGTTTAGGGTTTATCCTTCCTGAAGGTTCCTTAGCATGGGCATACGATCATACACCCCCAAACCTTCTTCAAACAAGACCTCAGGCTCCTACATTTGCCCGCCAAGGTGGTGGGCCTTTTTTCAGGTTCCATGCTAGCTAGTTTCAAGGAGCACCAAAGACTGTAAACATCTGTAAACCCTGCACTTCTCAGATTCCCAACACCCTGCAGTGGAGCGCTGAACCCTAAACCCCAAGCCTTTAAGCCCCAAAATCCAAACCCTAAGAAGCCCTAAGCCCTAAACCCTGAGAAGCCATAAGCCCTAAACCCTAAGCCCAAAGGCCCAAGCGCAAAACTCCCGGAGCCGAACCCTAAGCCCTAAGCCCTAAACACAAAGGCCCTAAGCCCCAAAACTCCCGTAGCCGAAGGACTTCCTGCAGCGGCAGCAGAACCGGGCCGAGGAGCTGGCGAACGCCTCCGTCTCGCGAGTTCTCGAGCTCGTGTCCCAGAAGGCCTCTTTGCAAAAGTAGGGTTTAGGGATTCCTTTAGGGTTCCTTTTAAAGGTTCCTTTGAGGGTTCCTTTGAGGGTTCCTTTTAGGGTTCCTTTTAGGGTTCCTTTGAGCGTTCCTTTGAGGGTTTCTGAGGTTGGGGTTTAGCTCGTGTCCCAGAAGGCTTCTTCTATAATTTCCTTAGGAAGTATCATGTATTTTTATTCAGATAAAACCCAAGAGAATACTAGCAATGTTATTTTGGGGTGCAGTAGTCTTGGGGGCTTCGCAAAGTAGGGCTTGGGGATGCCATTTAGTGTTTGTCTTGAGGGTTCTTTTGAGGGTTTCTGAGGTTAGGGTTTGGGGTTTATTGGGGTTTGGGGTTCAGGCTTTGGGGCTTCTTGTGGAGGAGCCCTAAACCCTACTTGGAGCATCTGGGGACTTAGTAATAAGAGTAAGGGAACTAGAATCATATGTACTCCTAACCTTAATCAACGTACTTATTTTGAGCCTACTCGCTAAGTCCCTTGATCCTCCAAGTTAGCCGTTTCAACCGTTCCCCAAGCCCTTACCGATAAGCACTGCATCCTCTAGCTCCAAACTATGCAGACCGCCGTCGAGATCGTAGGCCCCAAATCCTGAAGACGACAGCCACTCAAAGCTATCACGCGCTGGCTGCTGAGCAGTCTCTGCGCCTTAAGATTCTGGAACGGCCGTTTCTACCCCAAACCTCTAAACCCTAAGATTACCTTTGGTTAGTAGGGAATGGAGGAATGGGGTACAATTATAGCTACTATTACTACCATTCTTCCATTCCCTACTAACCGAAGGTAAGCTATAGGATTGCCAAGGCCCCTATATTATAGTATCCTTATAGATCCCTTATAGTAACCCTCAAAGACCCCTTTATAAGGCCCCTTTTAGGTCCCAAAGTCCCAGACCCAGAACCCTGAACCCCGAGACCCCAAAAGAGGCTTTTTGGGATCCCCTAAACCCTAAACCCTTAAACCCTAAACCCTAAACCCCTAAACCCTAAACCCTAAACCCTTAAACCCTAAACCTTTAAACCCCTAAACCGCTAAACCCAGAACCCTTAAACCCTAAACCTCTAAACCCTTAAACCCCAAACCCAGAACCCTGAGCCGCGAGCCCCCAAAAGAGGCTTTTTGGGATCGGCTTCAGCCTCTGCTTCGTGACGTGGGCCTCATCTCCGAGGCTCCGAGGAGGGATCCTCTCCTGTGGAGGGGTTGTCGAATTTTCCGAAGTGTAGGGTTTAGGGTTTTGGTTTAGGGTTTAGGGTTTTGGTTTAGGGTTTGGGGTTTAGGGTTTTGGTTTCAGGGTTTGGGGTTTAGGGTTTTGGTTCAGGGTTTAGGGTTTAGGGTTTTGGTTCAGGGTTTGGGGCCTAGGGTTTTGGTTTAGGGTTTGGGGTTTGGGGTTTAGGTTCAGGGTTTAGGGTTTAGGGTGAGGCTTTGAGGTGTCTGGGGTGTGCAGAACCGTCCTTGTTAGGGGGTTCGTAGGCTGAGGGACAAGAAGACACTCAACATCGCAGACCCTCAACTACTCCGAGCCGTCCTTCTCGGACCCGATGGCCTGATTTTAACCCCGGCCCAGACATGGCAGTTTAATTGCACTCGTGCCGCGAGATAGGCAGGCGAGGATGTACAGAGGCCGCCCTATACTAGGCCGACGGCGACCGTGACTGTAGCCCTGTATCGTACTTGGAGGATCGGGGGACTTAGTATGTAGGGTTGTTACTCCTGCAACTATAGTTATATCTACCGTTTTTAATCCTCATTCAGGTACACATAACCCTCCTTGCTATGTCCCCTCATCCTTTCAGAAGCCAAAACTAGCATTGCGCTCTGCATGATCGGTCGGGCAAGCGAGAAAGTGCTTCCGACATCCTTCAACTAAGTCCCGCTGCTGCAATCTTGAATCCCAACTTTGAAGCCCAACCACTAACCCCCAAACCTTCAACCTAAACCCGAAACCCCCCTAAAACTTGCCCTAAACCTAGACCCTAAACCCTAAACCTAAACCCTAAGCCTCCCTAAACCCTGACTCCTCTCCTTCAGCCTTCGCTCCTGCCGACTTGCAGGTTGATCCTGAGACGCAGCACCTTGGACTGTCAGTTATAAGGTTTAGGGTTTCGGGTTGAGGCTATATCTAAACCCCAAGCCTGGAGAGAGAGAGAGAGAGAGATTTCTCTTTCCATACTACATAGTATGTTTTAGCTTCATGCAAAATGTACTATAGTGCAATATGTAATGGTATTTCATGTAATGTAATGTAATATAATGCAATGTAACATAGTACAATCTAATATAATCCAATACAGTTTAATGTAACAGAATATATGTTGACAATATATATTGATTATTATTATAACATAGTATAGTATAATATAATATATCTACACATATTTCTGTACACAGACTATACTAAATTATAAGATAATATAACCTAATGTGTAGACACACACACACACACAGACACTAATCTTCAGCTGCGCTCTGCCTTAAAACCGTGAGCCCTAAATGACCCTAAACTCAATCGTGAAACTTCACCACTAAGCCCCTAAACCCTAAGCTTAAACGTCAAGCTTCAATTCAATCCCTAAATCCGAGACCTCGGAAGCCGGCTCCCTCATATCGAGCCTCAGGATTCGTGCTGAGGCGGAGCGAGCACGGGTGCAGGTGCCTTTGGGTTTAGGGTTAAGCGCTTAGGGCATAGGGTTTAGGGGAGAAGGTTCCAGAAATATTTGAGGCTTACGTTTAATAAACCTTCAAGTGTTGAAGCCTCAAGCTGTAAGCAAGTGAGTTTTTCTGACTTGAATGCCGGTGTTGACCCATGGCGGACCTAGGAGGGCAAACTGCTAACTACACGCCGGCTTGGCAGGAGCAGCTTCGCATCGATGCAGGTGTGGCGGAGAAAGTGGAGCGCATCAGGAGTGGGCGGGGTTGGGAATCTGGGAAGCAACAATCATATGGACACCCGAGTGACCACTAGTGACCAACAATATTCTTTCTTAGGCTTCTGGATACTACTTGTGCCACAATATGCCCGAAAGCCCACCTTCGAAATCTATGAGGGCCCTCCACTGAAACCCTGAGTCCACACCCCCAGAGCGCAACACATGCCCCAAACCCGATCCTCCGAAGGACCCAGGGCTGGGTGATGGTTTATGAGGCCATCGCTGCAGACTTTGACAGAGCACTGCCGTACCCCGGCTCAGATGGATTTAGCCTGATTCGGGATGGTTGTTGCTATATGCTGGACGTATTTTAAGCCAGCTGTTATTGATCCAGTACATCTTTGGCTCGTTGCTGCCCCGACCGCCAGCGGATCACATTTCTCCTTTGATGGTTTTTGTCAATTATCTGAGGGCTTGACAGTAATCGCATGTGTACGAAGCTTTTGCGGACCTTTGTGTGCTGGAGGCCTTTAACATTGTAGTGGTCACTCTGATTGAAATCACGCTGCTGATAGTGATGCTGAGATCGCTAACGCCCTAAACTGTAAATCCAAAAACCAACCCTGAGGGTCGCAGGCATCATCTCACAGCACACCCCGAACCCCTTTCCTGACTGTTCGGGCACCTGTGTTAGGGTTTAGGGTTTAGGGGTTAGGGCACTTTGTGGTAATTATCATGGCAACTGTCGCTGTCCGCACAGGTATCGCGCCGCGGCCCTGCTTTGCTTTTGTCCGGAGCCCAAGAATTTGGATGCAGGTACGCAGATATGCGTAGAGTTTAGAGGTTCAGGGGACTCAGTAACCAGGCTCCTTACTGAGTTTTCAATAGATGTAAGTACAGGTGCCCTGCTTATCTCCCTACTTGCGAGTGTTCTGTTCCTCCAGGCAACCTCAACCTTCACCGCAACCCCTAAATTCTGGTTTGGGCTTTTCGCTGTTGTTGCTGTAATGATTGCTAGGGTGGCCACGGTTCTTGCGAAGCACCCTCTTCTATGACGGTAGCATGCGTGCTTTGTGATTTGGTTGCGTCTTGCCATGGATCTTGTTGTAGCTCAGCTCAGGGTTTACACTGGTGACGCCCGTTAGCTCCCGGCCCAAACCCAAACCCTCACTAAAGCCGCAAATCCTCAACCCAAGCCCTGCAGTGTCCCTGAAAGCAACCCTTCTAGTATCCCTGGTAGCCAAAGTACCCTTATGAAAACCTCAAATCATAAAAGGATCCCCAAAACCCATCCTCACAGAATGGGACCGAGATGATTACTAGCCTGGCATTCTGGCCCTGTCAGGCTTTGGGGTCAAGTTTTGATTGGTTTGAAGGCTTCAGGGTTCAGGGTTGTACGTCCTGAAGGCATGGCTCTTGCCGGCGTTGGTTTGGGCTATCACATCCTGTGACTGGGACGCACGCGAGGAAGCATCAGCCAGAGCACCTTCAGTAAAACATAAGCTTGTAGTGGTACCTAAACCCTCAACCCTAGATCCCTAAGAACCTCAACCCTACAACCCTGAAAGCCCAAGCTCTGATACCCTAATCCCGAAATCGACCAGAGTGTGTTTAGTAGCGCAGTAAACTTGATCTAGGTTTCTGAATGATTGAAGAAAGTGTAATACCAGTTCGAGCTCGTATAGTTGCGGGCCCCAAGACCCTATTCTAACTCTTATCGTTGCTACAGATGGGATTCCTTAACATGAACCCGATTATGGGAACCCTAATCCCTACTAAACCTTTTGATGGGCTAAAACCCCTTTTGGCCTCCTACGACTCAAGCCGCCCGGAGGGGCTGAGATACGGTTGATGATATAAATCCTGCATTACTCATTAAGGACCCTAAACTATGGGAATTATGGTATAGTCCTTAGTATTGCTAATGCCGGATTTATATCATCAACCGTAGGACTCGATTTTTCGGGTGTCGGGGACCACCAGAATCTTAAAACACCCTTTTGGCCTCCCAGCAGATAGGCATTAGTCTCGTGTTTGTACCTCTTCGATGGCTTTCGAGAGGGAGCCCTGCGAACTCCTGACTTATGCAACATGTTTTAGAGCCAGCAAAAGGTGTCCCCAAACACTAAACTGTCAAAAGTTTATGGCTCAGGGGAGGCTCAGATTCGAAAACTCTTACAAAGCCCGACAAAACCCTAAAACAGTGACCCTAAAGCCTTCATAAGCCCATAGAAACCCACCTTCTCCAGCCCAAAGATACCCAAGCCTAAACCCTAAACTCCTAAAGCTGGCAGCCATAACAGGACATGTTTTGGGTGTTGCCTGTGGTATCATCACAGCGGGCGGGTTAACTTGCGATTTCATGGAGTTCTATGACATATGCAGGGAAGGTCGCTCGGCGCATAATATGCCGCCACCCCCCCAAACCCTGGTGCAGCCACTGTGCAAGAAGACAGCCCTAAGCCCCAAAACCCTGACCCAAAGCTAAAACCCTAAGCCCCAAAGCCCGAAAGCCCAAAGAATCGAAGCCCTAAACCCCCTGGGTTGTCCTCTGGGATGTGTTTTAATTTCCCCTACTATTTTGTAGAGAACCATAATAGCAAAAGATTGCAAAGGGCTTCAAGGACAACTAAACCCCATAAGGCGCCCCGAACCCAGGAAGCGGCGACTTCGTGTGCCGCCTCTCGTGGACGAGACCTCGGCGTCCTGGCTGCCGCGCTTCCGCCGCATTTCTGTGCCCTGGCGGCTTGTGGTTAGGGACCCAAAAGCACATAAGCATAAGCCTTTTATAGGGATGTATCCCTACCTTATTGGGTCATTATAAGGGGGTTTATATGGGATATCCCTAAGCTTGTTTTTGCTTATGTGCTTTTTTGGGCCCTATGAGGTTCGCAACGATTTTGGGTTTAGGGTTGAGGGTTTTGGGTCTTAGGGGGCTTTATGGGTTTGGGGCTTAGGTTTTAGGTTTATGCGTATGTGCATGTGTATGTATATGTATGCACACATAAACACATGTGCACGTTAGATTTGTCTTAAAGGCTTTGAGTCTAGGCTCTACAGGTTTTCAAGAAAGCTGGAAACCGGGTCAAGGACAATGAGTGCTGGGATTCTCTATACATTACTCTTAAGGACTGAGGCTATCGGGTTTCCAACTTTTGGGCTTCTACTGTAATGTGTGGGGTTCATGCCTACGTTTTGTCTGGAGAACCCAAAACCCGTTTAGTTAGGATGTGAAATTGAGGGCTTCAGGGTTTAGGGCTTAGGGGTTTAGGGGTTTTAGGGGCTTTCAGCTGCTAGGTTATGTATTAGTGTACGGGTTACAGGGCTTACTTCGAGGATCATGTGACTTGGTAAGTAGAGTTGTCACGTATAAGTACCTTAAGCAAGGCATGAGTAGATATAGATCTAGTCACTGTAGTTGCATGTCCCGACCTACTTTCTAAGTTTCCTGAAACCTGAACTCCTAAACATCCCTAAACCGCTAAACTTTCGACTCCAAACCCTAAACCCTCGAACCTAAACCCTATCCCCTAAACCCCTAGACCTGAAACCCTAAACCCTATCCCCTAAACCCTAAACCGTAAACCCCTAGACCTTAAACCCGAAACCCTATCCCCTTAACCCTGAACCCTACACCCTAAACTCCTGGACCCTAAACCATAAACCCTATCCCCTAAACCCTCACCTGAAGACAGGCAGTCGAGGATCCGACGGAGCTGCTGCACCGCGTCTTCGAGCGCGACGATGCGCGACCCAAGGTCGGCCCAGGGTTAGGGGTTTTGGGCTGTGGTTCCTTTAAAGGGATCTGTAAGGGTACCTTCCAAGAGGTTCCTTCAAGGGATCTTATAGGGTTCTAGGGTTTAGGGTTCAGGGTTTAGGGTTGAGGGTTCGGGGTTCGGGGTTTTGGGCTCTAGGGTTTTCGGGTTTAGAGTTGAGGGTTTAGGGTTCGGGGTTTAGGGTTTGGGCTCTAGGGTTCAGGATTTAGGGGTTTCGTTTTCAGGGTTCGGGGTTTAGGGGTTTAGGGTTCAGGGTTCGGGGTTTAGGGGTTTAGGGTTTAGGGTTCGGGGTGTAGGGGTTTAGGGATTTATGGTATGAAAGGACCAAAACCCGTCGTCTTATTGTCTAGGCCTCTACATGAACCGACTTGTTAGAAACTCCATGGGAGGTTCTGAACTTGAGGTCTTTGCCGAAAGGTTTGTTCCAGGACCCCAAGTAGGGTTATGAGTATCGTAATGAGGGTTACAAGTAGATATAACTATAGTTACCTTACTGATAACCGTACTTATATACTAAGTCCCGTGAACCTCTAGGTAGGTCTGGCTAGGGAGAAAGCCCATCAAGCTTGGAGGTTGGGGATTCAGGGTTTAGGGTTGACGGAGTACGGCTTCCGGAATCCAGGCTCTGACGCTAGGGTCTAGGGTTTAAAGTCACAGGCCAGGTGATGTAAAGTACAGACCTCGCACACGGGTACATGTGTGGTTAGTGCTGTTCACGTCTTCTTGTTCCCTATCTATAGGGGTTATAGTTACGGTAACTAAAGCTGTATCCAATGTAACCCCAATTCAAGTATCTGTATGCCGTAAATAGGGTTATAATTAGGGCAGTTATAGCTATATTAGCAGTAGCCCCAATTAAGGTACCCACATCCCGACTTACTAAGAACTACGATCCTCCTAACTAGTAGTGTCTAGGCTATTTTTTCTCCCCGCGGTCTTGGTCTTCTTCATGTTCTTCGGGCAGCCGGTGATGTTTAAGTTGCGGCTAGGGTTTAGGGTTTCGAGGTTCTTCGTGTTGTGATGTGCATGGTAATGACGGGGATACTGATGGGCTAACGGTGATGATGGTGGTTTTCCCAGACAGCCCAATACCCGTTAATTAGGGAATGTGGCTCAAATTATATAGGGCTTCATATTAAGATTTAAGCTATACTCCTTAATTGAGGGGTCTTGGGCTCTCTGCGTTGATGCTGATGATAATGAGATGCTTCATGATGACGCTGGTGATGATGAGCCATCGTGCAAGCGAAAGTCCAGCGCTTTTCAAAAATGCACCCTACTTCTTATAGCCTAAACCTTACGCCCTAAACCTACGAGCAAGCTCGACTTCTGCTGGAAAAGGGGCTATTGCACTTTAAAAAAAAACCTACTTCCTATAGCCTCAATCCTGAACCCTGAGCCCTAAACAAAGACACTTCGTACAGCCTAAGCCTTAGCCTGAACCCTATACCCAAAAATCTTGTCCGATGCTATAGCTTAAACCCGAAACCCTCAACCCTAAACCAAACTTCCTGCAGCCTAAACTCCAGACCCCAAAACCCACAACCCTCATAGTGACCGTTTAGAGCCGCAGCCCCAGAACCCTCAACCCTAAAACGGAGAACCTTAAAATTCCTGATTCCTCAAAGTTCATCCAGGTTGTCCTCGAAGAACCCGTCCGCCAAACGCTCGAGGCGTCTGTGCGGGATTCGGGTTCGATTTTACCACCACAACGACCACTACCAGCATCCCACACTCCACTCGTACTGCCACTGCAATTGCCACTAGCAGCTGTCGCTACTGCTACCGCTGCTGCTACCGCTACCGTACCGCTATCGCTACCACTACGACGACTGCCGTGCTGCTGCTGCTACTACTGCTACTGCTACTGCTACTGCTACTGCTACGGCTACGGCTACGGCTACTGCTACTGCTACTGCTACTGCTACTACGACTACTACCACTAGTTTCACCACTATTTCTACCACTTTTACTACTCCTACTACTGCTCCTGCTGCGGCGGCTGCTGCTTCGACAGCATCACTGTTAATGTGTGTTTATACGATTACTGAGTTGCAACTAGCTGAGTCTACTTCTGCTACCACTACACTATAACTACCACCCGTACCAAAACCATTGCCGCTGCTGCTGCTGCTGCTGCGACTGCCACCGCCGGTGCCATGATGACTCCTGCCAGTGTTACTCCTGCGTATGTTGCTGCGGGTAGTATGAGCACATCCATCGAGGCAAGACCGACAGGAGAGATACCATAGAAGCCAGGCCACAAAGATCCCCCACGTAATTATGACAACATCGTCACACTACCCGTTCCCCTCCTCCTCCTCCTCCTCCTCCTCCTCCTGTCAGGGCCATCATGACTCTCTGATTATCAGCATTTCTACGATCTCGTCATGATTCCCACTGCACCCAAAGCTCGCCAGGATATGGCTCTCATCGCGGCGGCTGCAGCTCGCCGGCCTCTTCGCTTGAAGGTTCAGCTTTGGGCAAGAAAAGGCCGGAATCACTAAGGGCAGCAGTCTCTTATAGTCACGGAAGAACTATACCATAATATACCCCAAGACCCTATTGTGCTTCTTGAGGCACCTTTGTTCTCCGCTTTCAACTAAGGCAGACTTGTCTTCGAAAGGTCCAGTTCAGGATTTCCGTGGGCCAGAAGAGAAAGCTAGACTCTGAGTTTTATGGGGTTCAGTGGTTTAGGACTGGCGGCTACGTGGTTTAGGGTTCAGAGTTTGGTGGTTTAGCGTTTGGAGCTTAGCTGAACCTAAACAACAAGATTGGAACTCGAAGCCCTCCTAAACCCTGAATCCTAAACCCTTAACCTTAAACCCTAAACACTAAGCCCTAAACCCTAAACCCTAAACCCTAAACCCTTAACCCTAAACCCTAAGCCCTAAACCCTAAACCCTAAACCCTAAACCCTAAACCTCAGAGCTTTGACTGAGGCGATCGGGTTTGGCGCTGCCCAACGCCGTCTTCTTTGGCCCGCCTGGCACAGGCCCGGGCTCCAAATAATACCATAATATCATAGTCTTAGTACTATACTATCATAGTACTATAATACCATAATACCATAGTGCTATACCATTATAGTACTATACTGCCATAATACTATAGTACTATAGTAATATACTAAACCTTACATTCTCGTAGGTTCTTATTGTAGACCCAAATATGGGATTTATAAGGACCCTACAGGAAAGTAGGTTCTAATAGGTTAAGGTACCATAATACCACAATACTATAGCACTATTCTCTTATAGTACTCTACTACCATAATACTATAGTACGACTATACTATTATAGTACTATACTACCATAATGGGCTCCAATCAGTTTATGTGGAGTTTGATTTAAGTTGGTGTCGGGATCAGCGAGATTGCTTTGGCTTGGGATCGTCGTAAATCGGCAGCCCCGCAACGGTTCTCCAGTTTGCAATTCGAGGGTTTTCAGAACTTTCAGGGTTTAGGCTTTTGTTGGGAGAGTTTGTGCGGTTCTAGATTCTGGAGTCTAGAAGCCAGTTCAAAGACCCCGAACAGCTCGAGAGATGGCGGGGGAATGTCCTTTCGAAGGTCTCCTGTGTCACGTGGGAGTTTCAGACATTGCGGGACCCTGATGTAGATCTTGAGAACTCTGTTCTCGTGGACACCCGAAAAAGGCATCCCCAGTTTTGAAGACGCTGTCAGGAGGGTTTCGTAGAGTTTCATCGTGGTGGACTTCAGTTAATTAGTTCAGTGGTAAGAATGCAGGGCGTGAGGTGTCAGGAATAAGGTTCCAGGCTGTGCTATTTCAGGCTGAGGGTTTTAAGTGCAGGGTTCAAGCACTAATTGTCGGAGAATGCTCCAAAAAGGCTTCAAGTGTGAGGGCGCTTAGATAGAGGTTAAGGCTTTGAGAGCAATTGCAGGGTGTGGACTCGCCGTTTTCGGTGGGCTTTGTTTTGAAACCCCAAAGCCCCAACCAGTGATCCCTAAACCGCCTAAACCCTAAACCGCCTAGACCTTCAACCCTAAACCCCAAAAGCCTTAAATCCTAAGCCCTAAGCCCTCAAACCCTAAACCCCAAGCCCCAAACCCCAAGCCCTAAACCCTAAAGCCATAAAACCCTAAACCCCAAGCCCTAAAGCCCTAAACCGCCTGAGCCTCAAACCCTAAAGCCCTAAACAGCCTAAACCCCTGAACCCCTGAAACCACCAAAACCCCTAGAACCCCCAAAACCCCTAAAACCACTAAAACCCCTAAAACCCCTACAACCCCTAAACAGCCTAAGCCTTAAACCCCAAGTCCTAAACCCCAACACCCCAAGTCCCTGACCGCTTAAGCCTTGAAACCCAAGGCCCAGACCGCCTGAGCCTCAAAACCCCTACAACCCCTACAACCCCTAAACCCTAAACCCTAACCCCAAAACCCTAAATCCCTAAAACCCTAAACCCCACGCCCTAAAGCCCTAAACAGCCTGAGCCTTAAACCCCAAGTCCGAAACCTTTGGCTCCGAACCTCCGCTCAAGGGAAGTCCCTGGCTGCCCGGCGACTGGCGGAAGCCTGTGGTATGGACTCTTTAAGGGTGTAGAGTTTGGGGTTCAGGGGGTTTAGGGTTTCTCGGGTTGAGGGTTTAGGGTTTGGGGATTGGAGTTGAGGGTTTGGGGTTTGGGGATTGGGGTTTAGGGTTTTAGGGTTTGGGGGGTTTAGGGTTTTAGGGGGTTTGGGGATTAGGGTTTTACGGTTTGGGGGTTTTAGGGTTTAGGGACTTTTGCCGGGTCCCAGACATGGATCAACGCAGCCTGGAGAGTTAGTAGAGCCAGTAGTTACAACACTATGCTCTAAACTCCAATCCCCAAAACCCCAAAACCCCCAAACCCCTAAACCCTTAAACCCCCAAACCCCCAAACCCCCAGACCTCAAACCACCAAACCCCCAAACCCTTAAACCCCCTAAACCCGAAACACCGAAATCGCTTGCTTAGCGTATAAAGCTCTAAACCCAAAGCCCCAAGCCCCCTAAACCCTAAACCCTGAGCCCAAAACACCCAAACCCGAAACCCCAATCGCTTTCTTGAACGATAAAGGCCCTTCTTTTCGAGGTGGTCGGGCCTCTGAGCCTTCGGGGTTTAGGATGGAGCTCTGCTGGGGCTTAGGTTCAGAGTTTAGGATGATTCGTTCTGCGACGGATGCCGGGAATCCGGACGAGACGCAGTTCACGCTGCCAGCTTATAAATCGTGATGGGATGCTACGTACTTCGACTTCTCACCTTTCAGGCTGTACAACAGCGTTGCTGACATCGACAACTGGTCCGGCCCAGCAACATTCGAAGTTGTTTGCTTATTTGCATGCAGCCTCATGTTGAAGAAACTGCTATTGCTTCTTCCATCAAGATGGCGACTTCGAAGAAAGCACGCTGGAAACTCGAAGTGACAGGAGGTCCATGACCTAGAGCACGCCTGCCGAGGGACCTGGCGCGTGCTTTGAGATCTTGGTTGTTCGGAACGAACAGGCCGACTGTGATTCGCGAAGGGGTGCAAGTGTATGCAGGTGTGCTTTCCAACTCATGTACTCTGATGACATGTGCTTTTCTGCGTGGATGCGCAATAACTTCACTGCGGAGTATTCCTAGCCAGAGCCAGCGCCAGAGCCTCGTGTTGTAGCACTTCCACCAAGGAAACGAGTTGTGCAAACAGCATTGAAAAGCTTCCGACTTCAGAAGCGGACACGAAGATAGGCAAGACACCTTTTGACCGTTGCCGAAAAAAGATCACACAGTCCAATCGAGGCGATCCGAGCGAGAGCTGCGACCGCTCACCGCCACGCAACTGCGTGTGTGCCGACCCGAGGCAATGTAATCTTCATGAGTCCGACTAAAAGCTTCCCTAGGGTCGGCTGGGGACCATAAGGCACCATCTGCAAGGTCGGCCGATCCCTGCGTGATTTTGTTGTGTTTCAGTTGCACGGCAGGAGCGGCGACCAGCTTCTGATATGCTCGGATGAATGCCACGGATGTCATATCATGATACAAATCGTCAAAGTTAACACCGAATGTTTCTTGCATACGTGGCTGCATATCACCATCGAGACGAGTCTATCCGCATCCATGCTATTCCCGATGAGAAAAAAATCCTTGCACATTGCAGTGGATCCACCAGCTGCCGAAGTGAAAACTTTGAGTCGTGATAAATAGCAGCGAGGCCAATCGACGATGCAGCTTTCGGTTTAAGCAAGCAATTTGCAGTCAACGCCAACCCCCTCGTGTAGCTCTTCTTGTGACGTCCCGCTCCATGCTCAGCGACACAATCCCACGGAATCTTTAGGGCCTCTGCGGTAGCACCATCGAAGCCCGCACAACGTTCCGAGGACATGAGCCGGTTCGCCAAGTACGAGGTTCGCTTTCCCGCAAGACCACACAGCTTGCGCGAGATCATCGCATGCTGCGGCGGAGACGAGGGTGGAGGAGATGGCAGACATTCTCGAAGCTGCCGGCGAGCCAGGCGGGTGGTCAAATCGTGCAGCAAGCCGGGGATGTCGTTAGAACCAGGCCACGAATTCTACACGGACTCGTGGCACTTGAGCGACGCGGGCATGCGAGCGTTCTGCCCACTCGTGGCGGAGATGGCAGAGGCGAGGTCGTGCGACGCTGTCAGGAATGCAGTGCACCTACTTTTTCTCGTCGGCCTTCATGAATATTTCGTTGTGACAGGGCTTTGACCTCGTCATCTCCGACTCCACCCTCTGCACGGTCTCCAAGATCGAGGCCTACAGATCCGGAACACAAGGCCGTTGCATTCTAAGAAGGATAAAAAGGCTGCGAAGCTCAGCTCGTCGGATCCGGAGCGCAAGACGAACAAGAAACGCAAGTCTATCGACGTCGAGAGCGACAAGAACGAAGAGCAGAAGATGGACGTCGGAGGCGTTCCAGAGCAAGTGACTGAGGTAACTGGCGATTCGGACACCAAGTAAAAGTTTTCGGCGCTCCTCGGATTCCGGTTGGCTATGTCGAGTAAAGAAAGTTCACAAGTCACTCACACTCGCAATCCAGTAGTGAAGTTCGACTCAGCTGCACTCTAAAGTTACGTGCCGCACATGAGCTGTCAAAAATTTTTCAAGGTCACCCGGACATAGCCATGTCGGGTGAAAGGCTCTATTTCGCAACAGGCGACTGCAGTCGCACTTGAGGGGTAAAATTCCACTTCTTGTGTAAAGTCGTGTAGCATGAGGATGTCTGGAAAGCTGTTTGATTGTTGAAGTGGCAGCGAGCTGGCCGCAACATACAAGCAAGCAAAAGTGCCGCAGCGAATATGGGCAGCTCGTCGAGACAGCCACGTCGGGTGAAAGGCCCTAATTCGCAACAGGCGACTACAGTCGCACTCGAGGAGTGAGGTTCTAATTCCTGTGTAAAGTCGTGTAGCAGGAGAATGTCTGGAAAGCTGTTTGATTTTTGAAGTAGCAGCGAGCTGGCCGCAACATGCAAATAAGCAAAAGTGCCGCAGCGATATGGGCAGGCGCAGTCGGGTAGTCGCTTGAAAAGGACGAGGTCGGTGCTGAGCGGGGTGCTTCAGTCACGTCGCGCTGTCATGCCAAACGAATGCTGTGCTGGGGGCTACGAATACTTAAGCAGTGCGATGTAGTCCGCGAAGCGAGGAGTGAAGTCCTCGAAAGTCTCCGCAGGAGCCTTCGCCCAGCGACTTTACAAAGAGTGCGGTTGTGTACCATTCCTGCATAGACATTTGCAGCCAAGCTTTGCAAAGATCTCGGAGGCCGGGTTGCTCGGACTCAGAAGCTCTTTGCATAGCGGCACTGGCTGAGTAAACAACAGAGTCGCCACAGGTCGCTCTTCGTACAGCGACTTTGCAAGAACGTCCTTCGCAGAGACACTGGAGTTTAATCTTCGCAAAGACGGCTGGGTTACCCGGGCTCCATATGCAGTTTGCGTAGCAGCACGTGCAGGGTGGCACAGACATCGTCGCTGCGAGGGCCTCGGTCTGCAGCGATGGAGGGAACCGCTAAATCAGCTGTGAGGTGGCGGTTTCCACGAACTGGCTGGTAGTATCCCTTAGCGACTGTCGCTCGTTGAGAAAAAGATTGCTTTGCTTGAGTGCCCAGACTCCTGAATGCGCTCCCCGGTGAACGATTCGTGCTTGCAGCGAGGACCACCGGTAATCAATTGCACATCCCTGCAGTTGTGGCGATGTCAATAATAAGAACGATGCCGAAGCACGCGCAAAAGCGATGGGCGGACATGATCCACGACAACGAGGCGATACGCGAAAGAGGGATAGCAATTTGCACATGCAACGAATAAGGCATGCCCATGGGTCTCGTTCCGCGAAGACTACATCAACGCTCGCTGTCGCCTGCAGGTGTCTACGCCCGTGCGGGCCCCGGCGTCATTCACGCAAAATAAAGACGGCGTGCAGCAAGGTCGGCTGGATCTGCATTGTCAAGGCTGGGCCTATGCAGTTGCGAGCGAGCAAGCGTCAGAGTCTGAGGACTGGACGAGAAGCAGGAGGCCTGAGACCAAGCAGGGCATGCCGAAGCCTGTGGCGAAGCAACGCAAGCGGAAGGCCAGGCGTTTTACTGACGAATAAGCGAGTATCATGCGAACAGGTGCCGACAGCGAAGACATCCGCTCGAATCGACCAAGATGATGCCATGTTGAACGAAGCATTCCGACTGGCAGAGGCCGTGACAAGAGCGTCATGTTTTGCACAAGGATGCGTAGCAGAGGCAGAGAGACGGTATGCACCATCGATGCAGAGTTGAGGATGCAATACGGAGGTCTGAACACTTCGTCATCATATCCCCTACCATCCCTAGACCCCAAACCCTAAGCCTTTGTTGTTACATCATACCCGAAGATCATGACTCTGCTCTGACGGTTAAGGCCTCTATGTTCGGATGCGAGTAGTAAGCCTTTTAGAGCCACAAGGAACCTTGCTTTATCTGTTCAGGCCAATGTTTCAGGGTTGACGGAGTCTGGGCTTGCACTCAGTTTGGCCTGCAAGCCCAGAGAAAAGAATGTTTTAGGGTTGAGGGTCTGAGGTTTAGGGTGTGGGGTTGGGGGTTTGAGTTTTGGATCTGCCGTTCAGGGTTTAGATTTCGGGTTGCTCTGCTTATAGTTCAACTTGTATCAGCTTATATCCGACCTGCTATGTCCCTTGATCCGTTAAGTAGTCTGGGTTTCCCTGCGAAAACTTCAAGCCCACCTCATTATGGCGACAAACCCAAAACCCGAGCGCAGGACTATGCGATCATGGCAGGTGGCAACGTGCTGGGGCTGCAGGTGCGCGTGTCATTTTGGCAGGGCTCCATACTTGGAAGATCAGAGGACTTAGTAAGCTCCTTAAAGGGCTCTGGGTTCCTTGAAGGGATCTATAAGGTTTAGGGTTTAGGGTGTACTTGGAGCATCAGGGCACTAAGTAAGTAGGAGTCTAAGGGAGGTAACGATAGTGATTGCTACTTGTAAGCCTAAGGTGCCCATATACAGCCCAACATGCCATATCCCATGCATGCATGATCCTCCAAGTACACTCTAAGGTCTGAAGGGCTTTGGGCCTAGTCTTCAAGTTCTTCAACCCTCCATAAAGAAGCCTAAACCAGCCGGAGGCTTTCGGGATCTGTTACAGCAGGAGCCTTTGAGGCCTTTTTGAAAGGGCCTTAAACCCCCGACATCAGCTCAAAAAGCTTTATGCAGGTTGTGGAGTACCAGACTTGAACCAATTTTTTGGTTGACCTGTTCCTTTCCGGAACCATACACGTCTCTGCTTTTTTTGGCCCCTGCTTACTTCAAAGTCCAATTCATCAAGCCAGAGAGCTAAGAAGGGTATTCTTGTATGGAAGGGTGAAATTCGGCTTTCGGGGTCACTGGGAGCCCAATGATACACCATTATTGCTGTGACCCTGAGCCCTTAGCCCTAAACCCTGAAAGCCCTAAACCCTAAACCCCTGAAGCCCTCAAAGTCCTGAAAAGACCTTAGACCGTAAACGCCTTAAACCCTAATAAACCTTAAAAAGTCTAAAAGCCCCTAACCACCCTAGTCTTTGCAGATCCAATTTTCCAGACCCCTAAAGCCCTCAAAGCCCTGAAAAGACCTTAGACCCTAAAAACCTTAAACCCTAATAAACCTCAAAAAGTCCGAAAGTCCCTACCTAACCCTTATTGGCTGTAAGCTCAACTTTTCAACTTTTGGGGTTCTTATAAGGTAGTCGGTTCTGAAAGTTTCCACTTTTATTTCCTTGCGTTGTGGGTCAGTGCGAACCACCCTAGTCTTTCCAGATCCAGTTTTCCAGGAGGAGGCGGTTCCAGAGCTGCGACGCGTTTTCCGCTGGGCGCAGAGGCGCGGCGAGGCTTTGCATTAGGTGGGTTTGGCGTTTAGGATCTAGTTTTTTTTTTTTTGTTGGGGGGGGGTTCGGAGTTAGGGTTTATGCTCATAAGGTCTTACTTAGATTTGCGGTTTCTGGGCTTTAGCCGGGATTTTTGCAGGTTCGTATGGCCTATCGTTTTGTTTCGGAGTCTCGGAGGGTTGAAAAGCTCTAGGACTTAGCTTCGAATTTGTCCTTTGTAAGCGCTGGGATTACAGGGTTGGGGGTGTTTCGGGTTAGGGTTTATAACGTTCACAATTCAGGGTTCGGGGTTTCAGGGCCTTTGGTTCAACAAGTTTAGGGATTGGTTGCATAGGTGCATATGTGGGAATCGACGTTCTACTTACCTTTGGTTGGTAGGGAATGGAGGAATGGGGTACAATTATAACTACTATTACTACCACTCTTCCATTCCCTACTTACCAAAGGTAAGTCTTGTGCTGTTCTGAACTTCTGGGCCGTTCTTGGTGATCTACGCAGGAAGGAATGCCGGATTTTCACTGTTTAGGGGTTAGGGTTTGGGTTTAGGGTATAGGGTTTAGGTTTTGGGGTTTAGGGTTTAGGGTTATGCACTACGTGTGTTCCCAAAACCCCGAAGCTAGGTAATTCTCGCTGCTCGAGGTCGCCGCGGGGAGTGCTCCTCTTCGTGGATGAGGCACGCAATCTGCATGCTTGTAAACCTCGTTCACATAACCTTAAACCCTACACACCCCAGGCCCTAAATCCGAAAATCCTAAACCCCAAACCCTAAACCCTAAATCCTAAACCCTAAACCCTAATACCCTAAAAACCCTAAACCGAAATTCTCAAAGCTTACAAGGCCGAAGCCTTCCTTTCGCAGCGCGGCCACGGAAACTTCCACCTGCAGGCGGCTGTGCCTCGTGGCGGCAAAAAGCCGCGGTTTTTAGGCTGAAGAAGGGGGTTTGGGGTTCCTTTAAAGGGGTTCCCGAAAAGGGGTCTAGAAGGGCCCTATGGAGATTTTCCAAGGAGAATGTACGGGGGTTTTAAGACATGCTTATTTGGGGTTCTGCAGGGATTTCGTGGCTCCGTCGTCAGGACGGCGGGCTTAGGATTCTGAGACGGGGCCCTGTTGGCCCTACTGGCAAGCCAACTAGCCAGGGAGAGCCGAACTTCGGACGGAAGAAGCTGTGCTAAAACGGTACGAATATCTGGTTATTCTTTAAACCCCATTTAGAGTTCTACCCAGAGGCACCCAAGGTGACACTTGACTACGGGTCCCTGATTCAGGATCCTATGATCAGGGCCCAAACTCTACGGCCCTTTTTCGGGTTGTTGTGTAGGGCAAGTTATATGAGAGTCTTGCTGAAAGGTAGAGACCCCGAAGTAGCACCTCAACCCCTAACTACTCGGGTCCTGGGGTGCATGGCCAGGAGACTTTGATGTTTCAGGGAGATTCCTTTCTTAGGGCTTAACCCTAAACTCTAGACCCTAAACCCTAGACCCTAGACCCTAAACCCTCCTAACCCCTAACCCTAAGGCCTCCTAACCCCTACCTGTAGCCGGAAAGACCTACCATTTTAGGGTTCCGTATTATGGCTTCTATATATAGTTCCTGCAATTAAAAAGGTCGGTCTTTTCGGCTACAGGTAAGTTCAGGCTCGGGGTTTTTGGCTGAGGTTCTGAGCCTCTGGCCCAGGTCCTTCTTTTTGACCGAGACGGGCTCCAGCAGCACCCGCGGCCCGATTGCTTTGAGAGCGTGGCTTTGAGTCTTTGGGGCCTACTTTAAGGATCATGGGACTTAGTAACTAGGGTTATTATTATGGTAGCCATACTTATAATTACTTATAACCCCAGTTAGGGTACCTATAACCATACTTACTAAGTACTTACTAAGTCCCATGATCCTCCAAGTACGGTGTAGAGGGGTTCAGGGTTTAGAGCCCTGAACTCGAAACCTAAGCTCAGACTTGAAGCCCCCAGGGTGTACACCTTGCAGGAAGTCATGAGAGAGCACGGCGCAGCGAACCAACCCAGTCGCACCTACGATTGCCTTCAAGATGCCCGGTGCATTCAGCGACGAGCGAGTTGCCTTAAAATGTCTACCAAAAACGCAGGAGGTCACAGTTTTGAGGGGCAAAAGAGCCGCCGTCAGCAAAAAGCAGGTCGAAGTCCATAAAAAACGAAGCAGGTTGTGCATGCAATGGGAGTTGGTGGGTGTGGTGTGGTGGCGTGTTTGTGCACCTGTGTACGCTCAACACATGCATAATTTGACATACCCCCTAAGTGTGGACAAAAGGTACATACGTTTTGCACTTCCGCAAACCAAAACCCTAAACCCTAAGCCACCTTGAAGACGAGGTTTGCAGCTGATTCTGGCCACGAACCGAATCCAGGACAGCGACTCGGTTAAGGGTTCAGGGTTTAAGGTCTAGAATGTAGGGGTTATGTGAGGCTTGGGGGAATTGGCAGTGTGGGGTTTGAGTGTTGGGGGATGTGAGTGTTTCGGGGTTGCCCCGTTTGAGAATTTAACGGCTCAGGGGTTCAAGTGTTAAAGGGTTCCAGCGTTTGGGAGTACAACCCTAAACCCTAAACCCTGGCTCAGAAATTGAAGGGCTTGTAGGGCTGCCACGAGAACTGCGGTTTATGGGAGTCCGCTTCCTGCTTTTGCCTGTAAACCTCCTCCAGACTCTACTTAGAGACATGGGACATAGTAAGTAGGGTTATAAGTAAGGTAACCCTAGTTATATCTACTTATAACCTTAATTGAGGTACTTATAACCCTGCTTCCTAAGTCCCATGATCCTCCAAGTAGACATCCAACGGGTAAGCTGTAGCAAACAGCGGTCAACACGCGTTCCATGTTTGTGGTGAGGTTACGACCCAGACGTTCATTTGGGAGTTTCCGAAAATGGGGGACCCTAATCTAGTACCCTAAATAGTGGAGTCCTTATTATCAGGACCCCCAAAACAAGGTACCCCTATTTTCGGAAACTCCCATTTGCCCAGCGTGTTGGGGTGCCAGCCACAGTGGGAGACCCTAAGCCCCAACTCCGAAACCCCAAACCGTGAACCCCAAACTTTAAAACCCTAAAACCCTAAACACCAAACCCTAAAGCCTGTTCTTTCTGTCAACTCAACGGTTGGTTGTAAGGGCCACACCGTTTCCTGGCCATTTTTGGCCTCTCAGGACCCTTTCAGGCGACTGGAAAAAGGAGCTCAAACAAAAACCCTAAAGCCCCAAAACACCCTAAAACCAATTCTAAAAGCCTACGACCCATAACCCGATAAGCCAGGACCTCGACGAGGCCGTCCTAAGCCGCCTACCCTTCCAGATCAAGTTCAGCAAACCGCCCGCAGACGTCTTGCAACAGCAGGCCTCTGGGCTTCTTTATGCGGTTTTGCTAGTTTCTTGATGATCGCGTCGGTCTTTTGAGGTTTAGGGTTTAATGTTGCAGGGCTCTGGGCTCATCTATGCAGTTTTCAATTTTTTTGGATGATCGTGTCAGCAAACACCCCTACGCTGTCGATGTCACACGACATCATATGGGCAAGATATTGAGCTCCAAAATCTGCAGCTTGCTCCTTCGTGAAACCCGAAGCCAGAATCCCTTAATATAGGGGCCTTACTAATTAGAACAGGGGTTGGGAATACCTTATACTATACTTACAATAAGGAACTTCAAAATAGTATAGGATATTATTTAGGCTTTTAGGCTTGTACATTAGCTTGCTCCAAACCTTGAAAAGCAGCCGAACGCACTACCAACAGACGGAGCCCACACTCTACATCCAAAGCCCCAAACTCACGATAAGGACCCGATGCTCTGAGCCTCTGAGGCCCAAGTTCTCCACCGCAAAACCAACACTCGAATTCCGTAGGCTCGAGATTCTCCACATTTTCAGCAAGTTTTTAGCTCCTAGTCCCTAAACATTGAAACCTTCAACTCTAAAGGCTGAAGCCCTTCCTAGACCCCCCAACTACCCTCCAATATACCCCAAATGCCCACTATTAAGGGCCATAAGGACTCTATTAAAGTAGTTGGAGTGTGCTGGTAAGCCCCAATGCCCAAACCCTTATAGATCCCTGTAAAGGAACCCTATAGATCCCTTTAAAGGGACCCCTAAACCCCTAAAGAACCCCAAACCCCTTTTTGGAACTCTTATAGATCCCTCCAAAGCCTCAAAGCTGAGTTAAACCCAAACCCCTTCATAGAACTTTTATAGACTTATAGATCCAAACCCCCAAAGCCCCAAAGCTGAGTTAAACCCAAACCCCTTCATAGAACTCTTATAGACTTATAGATCCTTCCAAAGCCCCAAAGCCCCAAAGCTGAGTTCGATGACCGAGCTGGTCGCCTTCCCCTTTTCGCCGCGCAGCGCCTGCGGCAGCTGATGGACCGGCGAGGTCGGGGATTTAGTGGTAGGGTGTTTTAGGGTTTAGGGTTTAGGGTGTCGGGTTAGGGTTTAGGGCAGGGTTCGGGGTTATAGGGTCTTTTAGGGTTTAGGGCCTAGGGGTTAGGTCGCGCTTTGGGTGGCTACTTAGCCTAGACTAGAGCATCAAGGGATTTAACAGGTAGGGTCATTAGAATGTTAGAAGGGCGAATTAGGGTTATGGGTCTAGGGTTTGGTCTTCGTTTAGAGTTTTGTGTTTAGGGTTGCTAAATGCTCCAAGTCGTCACTAGAAGAATTCTTGACCTTGCGGGAACTGTGTCTGCCGCTTCGTTCGAAGGGTCGGCAGAATTGGACGACGGAACCAGGTGGGCACCCGATGCACTGATCCACACGCCTCAACACTTGAGCCGCATTCCCCAACAATCTTCTCATTTACATGACACATCCCTGCAGTCAGTTATGAACCCTGAGAATGCTATCTAAAATTTCAAAAGCCTTAAACTCAAAAACCCGAAGCCCCAGACCCCAGACTCTAAGGCCTAACTGAATTCGGAGAAAAGGAGCCAACATAAAACAAAGCATAGACCCTAAAGAGAAAACCCCAAAACCAGAACAGGATCCGGCTAGGTTATGGAGCACCATACTTGACTGCTTTTTTTGGACCTGTTCCTGGCAGGAACCATTATGACATAAAAGTCTATACATTCCCTCCCTGGTTACTTCAAAGCGTATGCCCTGAAACTAAACCCCCAAAAAGCCCTAAACCTTAAACAGCTAAAAAACCCCCAAACACCCCAAACGCCTTTTCCTTGAGGCGGCGTGGAGAATTCCCAGGGCAAGACGCTGGAAGCCTTGAGATTCTCGGGCCGCGACGTCCAAAGCCTCTTCGAGGCTCCAGACCTTATGCCTTTGCTGTGAAGGTGTGGGGTTTCAGGGTTTCAGGGTTTAGGGTATGGGGGTTTGGGGTTTGGGTTTCAGGGTTTCAGGGTTTCAGGGTCTTGGGGTATGGGGTTTAGGGTTTGGGGTTTTGTGTTTCGGGTGAAGGGTTTGGGTTTCAGGGTTCAGGGTTTCAGGGGTTTCAGGGTTTCTGGTATCAGTATTAGTACCCAGGATGTGGGGTCTAGGGTTTAGGGCTTGGGCTCAGGACTTGAGGTTTTACCAGTACTCATACTAATACCAATAATAGCACTACCTAATCGCTAGACCCTGAACCGCAAACCCACAACCCCAAACCCTAGAAACCCTAAACCCCTAAAAGAAGCCCTAAACCCAAAAAACCTCTAAAACCCTAGAAGCCCTAAACCCCCAAAGCCCCACACCCTAACTAAACCCTAGACCCCTGGAACCCCTAAAACCCAAAAACCCTAAACCCTAAACCCTTAAAGGAAACCATATAGATACCTCCTTTAAAAGGAGCCCTTATAGATCCTACTATGGTAACTAACCCCCCCGCCGCCAACTCGCTAAAACCCCTAAACCCTAAAAGCCCTAAACCACTAAAACCCTTGAACCCTAAACCTCTAAAGCTCCTAAAACCCTAAACCCCCTAAAACCGCAACTCGCAGGAGTTTCAGCGACGCTGGAGTCTCGAGCAGGCTTCGGATGGCAAGCGGCCGGCCGACGAGGCTTGGGGCTTGGGGTGTAGGGGGTTTTAGGGTCCTTTAAAGGGTCCTATAAGGGTTCCTTTAAGGGGTTCCTCCAAGGGTTCCTTAAAGGGTTCCTATGAGGGTTCCTTTCAGGGATCTCTAGGCTGTAGGGTTCAGGGTTTCGGATTTCGGTCTCAGGAGTTAGGATTTAGGGTTTAGGGTCTACAGCTTTAGGATCTAGGGTGAGGGATACTAGTTGGGAGGTTTGAGGGGTAGAGGCGTTCAGGTTTGGGGTCGAGGGTTTGGCTCTTTCAACATCAGCTTTTGGGGATTCGGGGTCTGAAGCTTAACTTCTTTGAGGCTTGTTGGGCCTTTGCGAATTGCCATGTGTTCCTTATATGAACCTTAAGCCCAAAACATAAACTCTATGAGCCTTAGACCCAAGACAAAACATCATCACAAAGTCTGCACTGAACCACGACCCCCGGGCCTCAACGAGGCATGGCTTGATCGATGGTTGCAGCAGCGGGCAGTGGATGGTTGAGGACGCGCGTCCGAGCGCAGAAGCTTCGGGCATTCAATCTTTAGGCCTGTTTTGGTTGAGAACTAATATCCAAAACCCGAAAACCTAAATGCCAAACTGTTCAAGGGTACTATATTACGGGTCTTTCGAACGGTTTGCCAGCTAGGAGCAGTGGAGAGACGATCTCAGGCCCAGATAGCCGAAACCCTAAACCCGAGTGTCTCGGGCTTCGGAGTTTATCCTAAACTTAGTAGCTGAGGGGATGCAACTTTACACTTCTTGGATTAACAGAAGTGTACACTTTTTGGGGCTTATGAACTCAGCAGCTAAGTAGACCAGAAACCCTGAAGCCTAAAGCCTTCGAGCCTTAATCCCCCAGAATCACCAAAACAGACGTAGTGTTTAGATCCAGGTTTTACTCTTGAGCTCACCGTCTCGAAGCTGGAAGTCTGATGTACACACGACGTTGAGGGTGTGGGGTTTCGGGTTAAGATTTCGGGGTTTGGATTCGGGGGATCCTCTGGGGATAGAGACCGTATCAATAAGGTGCCTTTTACGAGAGCTAGAAGTAAGGTTAAGAAGGGTCGCCTTTCAGGGGTCTCCCTGATACTATCTAGGAAGAAGGGTTTAAGTTTAGCTTACCTGCGCAGCCCCTCAAACCCGCGAACCCTTGAGTGCCCACTTTACAAACAATGTTGTAATGCCGACGTTGGCAGCGGAAGGGCAATGATAATGCCAAGAAGCACGCCCTGAAGCCCAAACCCTCACAATCAACCAACCTCGTAGCCCTTAATCCCACAGCTGTCGTCAGCTCCTGGTCATAGTTCGGTAACATTTTACATCTTTATGGGTATTTAAACCCAATAAGGAATAAAATGTACATCCTTAATCCTATCCCAACAATGAACTAGAGCTCCTTCCCAAACCCTAAACCCTAAACCCCCAAACGCTAAACCCTAAATCATCCCAAAGCTGTAGTCAGCTCCTAAAGAGCTGGCAGAAAGCCCAAAACCCAACGGACGGAGAGCTCTTTCCGCCAGGAGCCTCTTCAGCTCCAACGCTCCCTACTTGAGGGTCGGGGGACTTAGTAAGTAGTTATTTCCAAGAGGTATTCGTATCATAGCTCTTAGGATCCCACGCATAACTCAACCCTAAACCCTAAACCCTTATAGCTTACAGCTCTACTTAGCACCTACTTACTAAGTCCCACGACCCTCCAAGTCGACGAAGAAGTCCCCGAGGTCCTCATGCTGGCGGTTGGTTCCTTCGAGCGCAGCTCTTCGCGGACTTCCAGGAGTCTGGCGGCTTTGGGGTTCGGTGTTAAAGTTTAGTGTTTAGGGTTTAGGGCTTTAGGGGCTTCGGGTTAAGGGTTAGGGGTTTGAGTTTAGGGGCTTAGTTTTCGTGTAGAGTTTAGGAGTTCAGGGGCTAGTATGGTTTTGAGAGTTTAGGGTTTAGGACCCTAAAAGGAGATGCTCAAAACATAAGCCCTAAACAACATACATTCTAAACCCCTTGACACCGTAAAAACCGCCAAGGCCCTTAAGGTACTCTTTTTGTAGCTGCCGCAAGATCCGCTTCATGTATGGGGGTAGGATGAGGACGCGGGTTTCGAAGGAAGGTCTGGGGTTGAGAGTTCAGGCTCTACTGCATGGTTTGAGCGTGTATTGTAGGAGCTGTAGTATGATTGGGGTTGTAAGTGGATATGATTATTGTTTGTTCAGACTTCGATACTTTGCAGTTTGGGGTTTAGGATTGCTTTTTCTGCGGCTGTTCAGGAGGTGCTGGTGGTGATGGGCCCGTTCTACACCCTGCTGCTGGCGAAGCACGCGACAAGATCGGAGTGAGGAGGTTGGTGAAACAAGCATCCCGGGATACTTATCCCAAGATTGTTAGCATTAGGTTGTCATATTCTTGTGTGAAGATGAGCTGTCCTCCACCCCAATACCATGAGTGCTACGCTGAGTACCAACAACTTACGTACAGTAACTTCCAAACGCGCTAAACCCCGCATCCAGTGTAGCACCTACAACCTCAACCCGAAACCTGAGCTCCTATGGACCCAGGCCCAAATCAAAAGCATCACCAAGGCCCATGTAGCACCAACCTTCTCCCACAAAGCCGCTCACAAAGAGTGCGCGTGGCCGGAAGTTGGGATCACGAAAGGCCCCCCCAATCGGCTCGACTGATGCAGGTTTCGGAGTTGTTTCTTTTTCTTAAAGGCCTTTAGGGTTGAGGCTTTAGGCCTTAAGGCCTGTTCAAAGCCTTGTGATTTTCGGGTTCAGGCGCTTTATGAGGTTTTTCATGGATAAGGTTGAGGTTTTAGTTTTCAGACGGGGCTTAGGGTTTGTGGTGTCGGGCATGATATCTAGGCGTAGTGTTCAGGGGTAAGAGTTTCCAGCGTAGGTTTCGTGTGTTTAGAGTGTAGGGTACCTGAAGAACAGGGTTTTAAGTAAAGGAACTATAGATGTATCAAGTTATACTTGTGCTAAGTCACCCAAAGTCTAGAATTTTAAGGAATCTTACTTACTAAGCCTTGTGAACTTCTGAGTATAGAAACCAGACGTATGGGGCTTCAGATCCGAAGCTGCAGCTTCATGACAGCAACCTAATTGAAAGGTTTAGGGCTTAGGTTTACCCCTAATAGGGTTTAGGGTTTACAGTAGAAGCCCAAAAGTTGGAAACCCAATCGCCTCAATCCTTAAGCGTAATGTACAGGGAATCCCAGCACTGTTTGGCCTTAATCCGGTTCCCAACTTTATGGGGTTTACTGTAGGGCTAGGGTTAGCTCTAACTGGGTTCAGGCCTAAGTTGTTTCAGGGCTTGGGTTGAGGGTTAACGGAAGCCTCTGAAACTCTTCACCCTAGTGAGTTTGAATCAGGCTACGGTTGATGGCGTAAATCCTGCATTTCCCATAGTAAGGAATATACCATAATTCCCATAGTCTAGGGTCCTTAAGGTAATGCAGGATTCATATCGCCAACCTAAGCCCTAAAACCCTAAAGCCCTATGCATCCCTTAAAGGCACCCCGTAAAGGTACCCTTCTAGATCCCCTTTAAAGGAACAGTGGGGAGGGGGGTTGCGTGAAAGAAGACTCCGCGACCTGCGTCGAAGAGTCCTCGTGGTTCACCGTCTTCCACAAGCTGAGCCCGCACATGGGAGTAGGGGCCTAGGGTTCCTTTCAAGGGATCCTATAAGGGTTCCTTTAAGGGTTCTGGGTTCTTATATATAAGGGATCTATAAGGTTTTTAGGGTTTTGGGGAATCTAACATGGGAGATTCCGAAATTAGGGGGTACCTTGTTTTGGTGTCCTGAAAAAAAAGGATCCAACAATTTCGGGTCCTATATTAGAGTCCCCTATTTTCGGAAACTCCCATATCCTAAGCCCGGAACCCGACATTTTCACGGCTCGCAGCCTCAACCCTAGATCCAGTACATTGAACCCTCAATGAGCCCGAACTTTGGGGCTTTTGGCTCATGCCCATTCTTGCGCTTTGAGAGTTTTGGCTATGCAGCAGGGGATCTATAGGGTTGATCCCTAATATACCTTAGGGCTCCTTTAAGGGATGGTTAAGGGATCCTTAAAGGGATCTATAGGGTTGAGGGCTTAGGGTTTCGCAAGTTGACAGGCGGTGAGTTTGCGCTGGCTTCGGTGTTTAGGGTTTAGGGTTTAGGGTTTAGGGTTTAGGGGGGCTGTTGAGTGTGAAGACCCCCGGAGCATAGAAGAGCATATGCGTAGTTCTGTAAATCAGGGTCCCTGCACGCGTCCCCCCAAATAGCATGGCACCCTTGTAAAGGACCCTGAAAGGGACCTTGTTCAGAGAACTACCCATAACGGGAGTTTCAGTAGTAAGGCATCGCACTCGTTGGAGAGACTACGCTCATCTGCAGGCATTCAGTGAGATAATTTGTTTCAGCATGAAGTCCTATCTCAATATGGAGAGAAGCCCTAAACCCTAAACCCGAAGCCCCCCGCCCTGCACGTGAAGGGTCGACGGCAGTAGGTCGCCTGCTGCTTGAGGTCTCGATCTGGCGCCTTGAGTTGAGGTGAAAAAAAGAGGGGCCTTGGGGTCTGGAGAACAGAGTTTAGGGGTTTAGGGGTATTAAGGTTCTGGGGTTTTAAGGCTTCAGGGCTTAGGGTTTAGGGAGACAAGAGAGGCTTGGGGTTTGCAGTTTAGGGTCGCGTTTCAAGGTTTCCGGTTTAAGGCTCTAGAGTTTGGAGGAAGTTTAGGGTTTAGGGATTTAGGGTTTTAAGGCTTCAGGCTTTACTTTAGAGTTTAGGGAAGTCGTCGTGATGAGGTTGGACGTCCTGGACAAGATCAACAACTCCATGGTTGACGAGAAGCCCGCTGCTCAGGGCGCCCGGCTTGACTGTTGCCTCGGGAGGGCTCAGGGGTTTGGGCTTAGGGTTTAGGGGTTTGGGCTCAGGTTTCGGGGTTTCGGGCTTGGGGTTTAGGGTTTAGGGGTCCCAGTGGTCTAGTACCAATGATACGAATAGCAATAGCAAGCGTAGAAGCAGCTACCTTAATAACAGTAACTGGCTGCTGCGACAGTGTTGTAGTTTTTGCGCTCGTTGCGACTTATCGTTGTTGTTTTTTTTGATTACTGCTGCCATTTCATTGGTGCCTTTCCTGCAACTCTCGCTGTATGGTCTGTTCGACGGGCTTTGTGTTACCGTCAATGTTTGCCATTCACAGTTCTTGTCCCTATAGCTACTGCTGCCGTCTCCTGTTACTGGAGGCCGTACTGCCTTTACTCGCCTTGACGTTGACATACTGCTCCTCTACTCTCCGCCTCTACTACTTACGGGATCAGGGAACTCAGTAAGGCGGGTTGTAAGTAAGATAACTAAAGTCAGAACTACTTGTTCTCACCCTCAGAAAGTACTCATAACCTTAGATACTAAGTCCCACGGTCCTCCTAAGCACTCTTCTCCTGAGGAGCGCTCCCTATCAGAACATCAGGATCTGGCACACCGAGGCCTGCTGATGCATCATGTCTCATCTCTGCCTGTTCGCAAGAA